ATCACCATATCTCCCTGGATGTGTCCTGTCGTGTCGTGTTGTGTCCAGATCCTGCCTTGCCAGCCTGTTTTTCCCCCACGGGATAGTTTTTGTTGTCTGTTTTATTTTATTAAAGCCCTTATCTTCCCGCACTATTGAGTCCTCGCTCCATCCTTCATCCCCAACCCTGACACTACTCCTCCATGTTATAATTATATACACTAGTTTACTATTGCATACCTGAACACATTAGAGATATTTTCTTTGTACAGCACATTTTTTTAGTAAACAACATGCATTGTGGGAAGTGATATGTAAATAAAACTGAATTCATTGGAAACATTTATCCACCCATGAGAGAATTTGTCATTGCAAAATCTCTCCCTCATCAAAGATAAACGGGATTTTAATGGGTTGCAGGAAATCAGTCCAAGGGTAAAAGCCTCAGTTGGCTGATAAATCATATGAGTATGATAATGATAATCATAGTCAGTATGATCTGTCTCTATGGGGTGTCAGTGCATAAACTAAACACCCTGAAAATGACCTTTAGAAGCTAAAAAGTGAATACAATTCACACAACGTAAAAATCAATCATTAATTGTCAAGGCTGCATCTTTCTTCTGAAAATCGAAAATCGTCTGAAATGCAAATAATAAGTCAAACTTAACCAACCATGTTTAGATATTACAGTTCACCCAAAAATGACAGTTCAGCAATTATCTATTCACCTTCATGACATTTCAAACCTGTATGACTTTCTTTCTTCTGTGGAAGATCAAAGAGGTTATTATGAAAAATGCAAAATTATATAAAAATTAAAAATTATTTTATCCATCAGTGAAGGTGAAATCAGGTCGATATCTCTGGCTGTTTAATTCTGCTTGTTTTTTTTAATCACTTCACATATTCAGTATACGTTCAGCCATATACTGTATGTACACTGATCAAACAGATCAATAATACAGTAATATTTCACAGAATCAATATAAAACAGGAATAGAGTTTTAAAACCTACAGCCAGAGTTATATATTAAGTTTAAGATATAATAAAGCTTGTGTCTTTTGTGAGCACCACAGGGAAAATCAGACATAAGTCCAGAGGCGGACAAAGTACACAACTCTGTTACTTGAGTGAAAGTACAGATACTGCTGGTCAAATATTACTCTATTACAAGTGAAAGTTGTAAAGACAGATTTTTACTTAAGTAAAAGTACAGAAGTACTTGCTTTTAAAAGTACTTAAGTACCAAAAGTAAATTTCCTTTTTTATGTCAATGCACTGTTTTATTATTGTTGTATGTAATACTTGCAATACCTCTGAAATAACTTACAATAATGAATACACTGACTAGCTTGTATCTTTGGAATAAAGAGCTTTTAGAATGTTAAAAACCTATGGGGAAAAAACAAAACAAAAACAAAAATGTAACATTTCTACCCACCCCCACAAAAGCAGGATGGTAGTGATCTCACACAGTTCTGACAGTGCGTGCACACATCTATGTGCAGCCATTCATCCACATTTGAACAGAGTGGACAGTGAAATTGCTGTAAATAGTGATAAGGATGAAAAAAACAAAATCAAACCTGCTTTAAAACCCAGCAACACAACTGTAGCTGTACAACTTTACAACAGCAACACTGCTTTAACAAAAAAGCAAAACAGCAACAGATTTATTTGCCATCAAAACAAACATTTTGAAAATGGTCTCTAATCGCTCTCGTGGTACTTTGATGTCACACACAGAACAGTCTGTGCAGTGCTGCTTCAAGTCCAACACCTA